CTCCTCGGGAGCGGCTCCTATCCCTCCTGCTCTAACAGCCTCTGGCGTGTTTCCATCACAATCTCTTCCATTATTTCTGGCTTTAAGATGTCTTTGATCTGAAGAAGGAAAGGAAAAGGGTATTTGTTTAGAAACAAAACCAACCGTAAGCAGACCACCAAGCCAATCCAACACAGAAACAAGCATGGTTAACCTAAGCCTCTGGGCTCCTTTTAGCAGGGGCCACAAGCTGCAACCCATGACCTGCTGAGCCAAATGAATAATCAGAAGACTCTGGGACGTAGCTGACAGAGAGAAAAAGATGGGCTACCCCGAGGCCTGGTGGCTAAGGCACCCAGGTCTCACACGGCCAATTGCCAGGCCCCAACAGCTTAAAAACATGTCAGGCACAAATGTGTGCATGGCCAAAATTCCAACAGGACAGAGAAATGGAGAAGAGACTGCAGCATGAGCACGCCCCACTAGACGCTGCTTTCTCCCCCTCCATGCTATCAGGTGAGTGCACATACCCTCTGGCAAATTTTTTTATTTTTTAGTTCTTTAAGGAATGATTTCACTTACTTTATTTATTTACTTAGTTTTGTTTTGTTTTTTAAATTTGACCAGAGAGGGACAGAGTGACAGAACATCAGAGTGAGAGAGAGAGGGAAAGTGGGAAAGCAAGCTGACCGGTCCAGGACTCAGACCATGGATGGCCATGTGGGAGTCCAGCGCCCTTAACCACCACACCACCTTGCTGGCCCCCTGGCAAATATTTTAGAAAAGATGATTACTTTTTTTTTGATTTGCAAAGAGAATTTATACCCAGAATGAAACACATCTCAGACCAGTCCAGGTGAGAATATTACACACATTATCATCAACAGGTATAATAAACCGTTTCTGTGTCTCCACAAAAGAGGGCTATTCTGACAGTCATTGAAAAAGTGGCTGGAATCTGGGAAGTACACACTAAGGTCCAGAGGGTGGTTGTCGGAAGCCAGTCCGGCCTGGCACCTCCTTCTCCCCCAAATTCTCAGACTGACACTACACAGTGAGTACAGGAAAGCACCTGGGGAAGGAGCCACTGGACATGCAGGCCGCCATCAGGGCAGCTCGTGCTGCCGGACGAGGTGAAGAGTGTGTGGGCGATGCGCTTGCTGCGGGTGAGCGAGGAAAAGGGACGCCCCGGGCGCAGTACCTGGTGTGGAAGGGATGCTTCGTAGCAGTACAGGATACTGGTGTCATACAGCAGCATCCTCTGAGTTACCAGCGAGACAATGCAGTTCCGAAGTCGGGATATCACCTCGCGGTCAGAAAGGGAGACAGGCTACAACGGGATGCAAGGGAGAGGGAAGGGGAAACAGGAACAGAACCAAGAACAAGTGGTCACTATGAATCACAGAAAACAAGTCATTCACGACTCCGACATAGCACTCAGAGACTTCAAGCCAATCAAAATGCTAACTCCAAGAGAAATGAAGAAGGGTGGCCTTTTCTTTTTTAAAAATTAATTTCACTTATTATTTATTATTATTAATTTGACCAGAGAGAGAGGGAAAGTGAAACAGCAAGCTGCCAGGTCTGGAACCTGAAACGTGGTCAGCCATGTGGGAGTCCAGCTCCTTAACCACCATGCCACCTGCCGGCCCCAAAGAGTGGCTTTTTCTGTGACTTTCTGCATTTTTACCACCTCTGCCAACAAAGGTCAAACCGGCCAGAGTTCATCTCTCAGAAGAGACAAGGCAGTGCAGTATTCAGGAACACACCCTCATGGAAACAACTCACTACAGCAATAACACAGTTAAAAGTAACAAACCCCACCTGCCACAAAACACAGGGCGGGAAGAGCTCCAGCCAGCGAGTGACAGAGATGTTTACTGACCTCCAGGTTCGCAACAAAGCCCCCTGCATCATCCTCTTTGTGCTCAGGTGTCGGGTAGATCCAGATGAAGCCGTTGTTACCCAGAATCACAGAGGCACCACACGGCAAGTCGTGGAAGTGAGTCTTCTGCCGTTTCACCAGGGAGGGAGACACTTGGACCAACACGCCCTGACCTAGCTAGAGGCACAGCACAAGCCAAGTCACTGCGGGTCATCGGTGAGACGAGTTCTAAGACCATGAAATATGCACCCCAGTCACATTCCATCGGCCTCCTTCCCAGGAACTTCCCAGGAACTGCTGTCACCTACATGCAGATCCTTTCTGCAGAAGAGACTTCCGGGTTCAGAGGCTGTTTGTACCCGGCAAAAGTGACCTTCTCTTTTAGTTTTTGCTTTAGGGTAGATGTGCTCACCAAAGAGACAAGGGGAAGATGGAGAGGGAGGGATGAAATCACTGGGCGGGATGGCCATGTCACAATCCCTTATTCTCTAGGGATTTGGGGCCCACATGCCCTAAGTGACTTTCAAGTCACCGGCTTCGGGGCTAGAGCAGCAGAATCGGTCACGTGAGTTCCAGCCATCTTTAACCTCCACGCCACCCACTGGTCCCAGAAAGGAACTTTCTTTCTTTTAAAAATCATTTTCTTTAACTTTATTTATTTAATTCCTAATTTGACCAGAGAAGGACAGAGAGAGAGTGAGAAAGCAAGCCACCAGGTCTGGAACTTGAACCCTGGTCAGCCATGTGGGATTGGAAGTCCAGCACCCTTAACCACCAGGCCACCTGCCAGCCCCTCTTTTGTTTTAAAGAGAATTATTTAGTTTATTCTATTTGTTATTATTATTTTTTTAATTTTTAATTTGACCAGAGAGAAAAAAAGAAAGTGAGAAAGCAAGCCACCAGGTCCAGGACTTGAACTGTGGTCAGCCATGTGAGGGTCCGATCACTGTGCCACCTGTCAGCCTAACTTTCTATTTTTAACAGAGAGATTTTACTCTGTCTCACCAGAGACAGAGAGAAAGAAAGCAAGAAATCACCCTCCAGGAGGATGGCCATGCCACAGTCCCTTTTCCCCCATTCTTCTTTTTTTAAAAGCAATTATTGATTTATTTATTTCAATTTGGTATTATTATTTTTTAAATTTTGGCTTGCTAGAGACAGAAAGGGAAAACAAGAAAGCAAGCTGCCAGGTCCGGGACTTGAACCACAGTTGGACATGTGGGAGTCCAGCGCCCTTAACCACCACACCACCTGCCAGCCCCTCCATTCTTCTCTTGGGGTTTTAGGCATACACGCACATGGGCCTGGTGCGAGTTTTAAGCTGCCAGGTCATGGACTTGACTCGTGGTTAACTACGTGGGACTCCAGTGATGTAACCATTATGCCATCCGCTGGTCCCTCTTTTTTTGGTGAGAGAGATATTTTTTATAAGGTGTGTGTGGCTTGCCAGAGACAAAGACAGAAAGCGAGAAATCACCCCCTAGGGGATGGTCACTCTGCAATCCCTTCTTCATCCTCCTCTCAGAATTTTAGGCACACATGCACATGCAGCTGATATGATTTTATTTGTTTTTAGAATTATTTATTTAGTTTTATTATTATTTCTTAAATTTTGGCCAAAGAGACAGGGAGAGAGAGAGGAAAAGTGAGAAAGCAAGCTGCCAGGTCTGGGACTCGAACTACAATTAGCCATGTGGAAATCTGGCACCTTAAACTGCCACGCAACCTGTGAACCTCCCAGCGTGACTTTTAAGCTGCTGGGTCCGAGGCTCGAACCATGGTGGACTACGTGGGAGGCAAACATAACCAGTAGGCCATCTGCTGGTCCCCAGAAAGTAACTTTCAATACTCTTCTGCCATTTTCCTTTGCAATCCTAATCCAGAGCAGGTGTGCTGGAGAAGCGGAGGCCAGTGAGTGCGGCCACTTGAGCCTCCTGCTGCTTTCCTCTTGCTCACGTGCATGTTTCTCCTTTCTGTTCTTTAGTCCTAGCTCAGACCTTATCCCCAAACACCCATCTTGCCTGTGAGATGTGCCATGGGGAAGAGAAGGGGTCGGGCAAGGGCTGGATACAACTCCACGCCTGGTCCAGGCAGGCAGGCTCCAAGGTCATGCCCTGCAGATGGCCAGCAGTGCCCAGGCCCGTGGAAGTCAGCAGTGTCCGTGGACAGCGCAGCGTCCATCTCCTCCTTCCAGAACACAACCATGGCTGGCTGCAGCCACACTGAGGGAAGAGGTTTTCCTTCCACTCAGCAAATGAACATGTCCATCCAGACAATGCCAAGAAACTAGTAAATCATAATGTGTCTTAGGAAGTATGCTGTCTTTAAAAATAAAGCGCCTCAAGAGTGTAACTTCCAACAAGAAGCCATGAAATTCACTAGAGGCTGAGATGACAAACCAATGTGTGCTAGCGGCCACATTCATTGCACTGCTTGGACACCTGAGGGCTGAGACCGCCTTTCACCGGCCACAGCTTCCCTGTCCCGAGGGTGGCCTCAGCCAGAGCTCACAGTCAGGACTCTTCTTCCAGAACAGTCTCCTGGCAGAAAACGGGTACAAGTCACTGTCCTTTCCAATGCCGACCCAAGGCTGTGTGAGTCCCAACCTACTAAGTTAAGGAGACACAGCCGGTGTGGGGGACAGCAGTCACCAGTGTTAAACTATGGGGCTTCTTTAGGACCAAGCCCCAGAGATCTGAGGGTGCTCAGAAATGGACTGAGTCTCAGTCAGCAGACAGCAAGAGCACAACTTACTTTTCCATATTTTAGGCTCCTCGTGTGCAAAGAGACGGCTCCGTCAGAGAACACTGCTTGGACCTCAGCCTGGCCGGGGTGATGAAGGGACAAACAGCAGCTTTGGCTCCCCACTTCGTGCCACCTGCCACCCCTAGTCCCTGGCCCCTACAGCTTCATTGACTCCTCCCACCTCAGCAGTTTTAGACAGATCCTAGGACACCACTGAGACCTCATGTCTCCCCTTGACGGTCACTAAAACCTGGATGTGAACACCTTTCTCTCCCATGAGATCAAAGTTAACATCTTTAAGAAAACTTGAGTCTGACATGAACATGGGCCACCCTGCGTTATAAATAAGACCCAAAGGTATATGTTTGCAGCAGATATGAACACAAACCGGAGGGCCAGCCGCAGCTGAGGAGACAGAAAGACTGCGGCAGAGCCCTCAACCTCTACCCGGGACTCACAGCCTGCAGGATCAGACAAAGTGCAAGCCCACTTCCAGCCCCACGGAAAGCATCCAGAGACCGAGCGCAAGGTGCAGGATACACTGATGAGGTCTCCTTCCTGCAAGAAACCTCTCATCGCCAGTTCGTCTTCTGCAGATCTTCTCCTCTGAAATACACCAAACAGACGTTACTTAAGCCAGGTCCTCGGAAAGATCTCTCTCCATTACTTCTCTCTGACTTCCCTGGAGATTTTTGAAGCCAACCTCAATATTGAAAGGCACCAAAAACTGCCAGAGTAGGTGATGCAAACCACTCAAGCCGGAGTGATCACAACTTTCCATCCACGAGGACCTCTCCGCCCTCCTCCGAGTAGCAGTCACACGTCCTACCTGGCATTTGAAATCCTCCCAATCCTGCCCAGCCTACTCTTGCATGTCACCTTCCACGACAGCTCGCAGGTCTCCAGCAGGACCAAGACTGCCTCCCGCCCGGCTCTATCTCTGCTCACACATTTCCCTTTAAGTCAGATTCCCTAAACACAATTAAATTCTCTCCATCCTTCAAGGATCAACTCCAGTGCCAACCTTTCCCATGAGCTCTCACGGAAGTGCATCAGGCCTCTGTATGACCACGTGCTTGTTTATTCTTCTGCCAGGTATTTGAAGGAGCTACCTCATACCCTGATGGTCTGTACTCTCTTTAAGGAACTCAGTCGTGCTCAGCATTCTCCACAGAACCCAGTATGGCAAGCCTCTCTGTAAACGTGCTGGACTGGAGAGAAAAGTGAACCTCGGTATTTTACAGAAGGCTGCAGTTTATTCCTGTGGCTGTCTGAAACAACCAAATACCGTTCGATCCATAAATAAACTAATCTAAATCCTTTTCAAGGACCACCGTGCAGAGCCGAAGTACCCAGAAAAGGAAAACTTGTTAGCACTAAGCCCCTTAGAGCTTCTCTTCCCAGCATCCGCTGCTCGCCTCTTGCTCACGTGCATGCTTCTGCTCTCACCACATGCCAACTGCTGCCTCGGCTGGGTGCCCTGGGCCAGGTGAAAAGCCCACATCACAGCTCCAGGCCACAAACTCCACCACAAACCGAGTTCAAGGGCCACCTTAGTGTAAGCCAAAGTTCTCCGATGGAGCAAAGGGCCCTGTAACTCTTGCTAGTCAACTGCATGGTCCCAGCAGCCAGCAGGCGACTTACCAGCTCTCCCCCAGGGAGGTTCATGGATGAGAGAAGCAGGACTGAATCCAGCCTGGAGTTGGTCTCCACCTTCCACCTCTTCTGCTGACCCTACAAAGAAGCTCCACAGCTAGA